AAAAAATAACTTCAATAGAAACTCCGAAAACTGAACTATATGAGGTGACGCTAAGGGGTCATATTACTAAGTAAATAAATTTACAATGGGATAAATGTATGATTGGCTACTTACGATTGACGTGTAAACAGGTGAAATCAAAGATTACTAAAATACTAATTACTTAAACACTCCATAACATGACACACCATCTTCGACCACTCAGATCATCTGTGAAGGCTACTTGCTTTATTCTGGCATTGTTTGATTTAATAACTTCCAGAAGGGGTGTTGTTATTCCTATGGCATATACCGGCATTGCCAAAGGATCGCCCTGTGTGGTTCCCTCTGATRACAAAATTTCAGTACCTCCAAGATCAATTAAGCGAGATGGAGTGCTGTAACAGTTMCTTATATATACGTAACCATTGGTGGGCACAAGTGTCGCATGTTTTGTAGTAATACAGCACGGTTAAGTGAGTTGAAGGCGTTATCCGCATCTACCAGGATTGCTACATCTGTAGTGTAGACTGGCCATCCAAGATGTCTTTAAGGGCGTGTACAGCAGCTTCACATCCACTTGCTTGACCGTGGAAAACCGTGTAAAAGAMGTTCTTGCACTCTAGTGTTCAACCCGAAGACGGGCTAATTAAGATGTTTATAGTACTTATTATAAAAGCCGTATCAAAACAACCAAAAAACTATAAAACTATGATAACCATTCTAGGATATCAAAAGAGCTTTATGAATTAATATTGCAGTTGTTAAAGAGCATATGACATGAAAGCAGTTTTTTCCCTGTAAAAAGAACTTTTTTTTCATGCTATATGTTAAACTGTTTTCGTTTTTAAAATCACCTCTTTCGACACACTACACCAAGACCTTTGAATGAAACATGTTTCGTCTATTAGACCTTTTCAATCATTGTTACGTTACACAGTTGACTACGCTTGCAAAATCTAGCTGCACGCGCTTTACACAACGTGCGCGCACTAATAACCTACAAAAAGACTACAACAATAAAATTAAATTAAATTAAATAAAAATAACAAAGTTACAAAATTTCAATGTTTGCTCGTGGTATCTGTACAGTATTCCACTCATTTTTACTGTTCATTGATCTTAGTCCCTCTAGCTTTATCCGTACAGCCTCTTATATTTGTCTCAGCATGGGGTCCCTGTGGAACGTCTCTGTGATGTTCATTTTGAAGTCCTGTACTACTACTTCCTGTACTACTCCTTCAGTGAGCTTTCATGATAGATCTTTCTCCACCGGTGACCATATCTTTAAGGTGCTCTCTGCCTCTGGTGTATCCACTTCTCGCCGTTTCTCCTACATACTTATCACCACAAGATTTACATTCGATTTCGTATGTAACATTGACGGCTCTACATGATCCATTTCCTCCTGTCCTACATACCAAGCAATCATCTCTACTGCATAAACGAGTTTTGAARGRATCCGATCGTTGTAWTACTCCMTTGAYGTTTACATTGGCTTTCTCTACGATCTTGATCTTTAGTCCAGAGTTGTTCACATCCTTCTGTAGGAGTCTCCTAAGTTCTGAGTCTGGTGTTGACGGTACAAATATCACGCTAGAATACCCTCCTTCCTTATACCAATTAACTTTCTTGCTTCTCTTGATGGTTTCTCGCTCACTCCTTTTCCAGTCCTTCGTTCTTTACATGGGTCTAACCCCGTTTTTATCTCGTGATGTTATCCTCTTGTAAGCCTCTAATGCTGACCTCACCACCTCATAGCGGAAACGATGGTCGTAGCCTGAATATTGCATGCGTGCAACCATATGGTTAACATGTGTGGCTGTTTGTTCCCAAGGCAACAAGGTACTGCAATTGAGTAGGACNAGCGTTCAGTGGTTAGTGGTTACATGTAATTTTTTCTTACGTGGGGGGAGAAAATATAAAAACAGCTTTAAAATTAAAATTTTATTCAGAAAAAATATCGTAACTACATAAGGATCCATTTTGTGAAGAAAAAAAACAGAAAAAAAAAAAAATTTAAAGCGGTTCGGCCGTGATTCGAACCACTGAACGCTCGCGCCATTAATAAGCCACAAGATACCAGCCTGGGACGCCTGTGAAAAAAGAAAAAGAGACTGTCAGTTTGAAGTGTTTTTTTTTATTAAGACATATTTACACGGTAAAATGTGAACATCAAAGTCCCAATAATATTAAAACTCTTTATCAACACTTTCAGTACAATTCCTTGATTTTTCTTATTGATCTTTCCCAACTTTTCGTCCAGTGAGYTTCTTTATCSAGCTCCTCGACTTTTGTCTTTTGAATGTTGGATATYGATTCSATGAACCTTGCTTTATAGTCCTAATTAAAAACAATTGCTTTAGTTGAAAGTTAACAAGCTCGAGTACGGTCTACACGTAATGCATATTTGGGTCATCTTCATRATCTCTACTCCCGGTGGGTTGAAATATGTAATTGAGAATGGACAGCACAAAAGGGGGTTAAAGAATTAAGACTCTCACTCTCACTCTCTTCTTTGATGCAGCGAGTGAAATAATTGCGTCTTTTGGAAGACTGGATTTTCCCGCCAGAGACAAGACCCCTTTTGTGATGTACTCTCTCAATTCTTGCCTTGCACCTAGACAATACAGAGCACGCTAGATGCAAATCAACCGATGCTACGCAGATGCACAACAACGCCCATTGACCGTCATGCACCTGGACAATAGACCCTAACACAACGTCCACAGTTTCCTTTTTTCTTGTTAATAAAAGCCGAAATTACTGATCAAAAATGCTGACATTGACTGGTGACTTTCCTTGCAGGCAGTAAAATGATGAGAATGGACAGCACAAAAGGGGGTTAAAGATTTTGATGCAGCGAATGGATTAATTGCGTCTTTTGGACGACTGGATTTTCCGGCCAGAGACGAGACCCCTCTTGTGATGTACTCTCTCAATTACTAGTAAACATGTACCGTCATTTGCAAACATTCTSACACCTAACTTTTATCATTGTATCATGTGCGTCATGGGTAATACGATGCAATGTTCGCCATTTTTACGTTAAACAGATCACARATMATTCCAGTGCTTTGATRTTTCCATAGAAAACTACTAGGTTTTCCGTCCTAGTCATGTTGATCCCCAACCCTACATATTGACGATTCCCTCGAGGCAGGAAACGTCTGGCTTGGAAATTTGAAAAATGAAACAAAACGACGTTCCCATTCGACCAATTTCGAGATGCATTTCTTTAAAACTTTCAATTGATTTTCTTTTAATAAGTTAATATCTCCATTAGTATCCTTGAAATGTTTGTCAATGGCAGAGCTCCTATGTCCATCACTTGGAAATGGGACTGTCTCATTAATGTGATGTTATTTATACGAACAATAAGACCTAACTTAAATACTCAAAGTGACGCCATTAAGGCTAAAAAAAGTATTCTTTTAGAACTATTTTTAGAACTATTTTTATTATTTGTTTTTCTTTCTTTTATTCATTTATTATCATTGTTTTAACCTTATTCTTATTATAAATTTTTACTCATTATTATTCGTGTATACATATCCTTTTTCATTTTATTTCACTTGATAATGACGTTTGATAACGTCGAAACGTYGTGTAAAAATTGTTTAAACCAAAATGTATTATCGCAGAACGTTATTGTTAAATGTTTTACTCTACTTATAMGACTGTATAAACCTTTATATAAAAGACAAAGCGCTGGCAGCAGCTTTTATTATGGCTCAAATATTCTCGCCTACGATTTGAACACTTATACCTGAATTCACGACTTTCAATACCCACATTCAGTGACAATTAACTCAGCATTTAAACGAGGCGTCAAGGAATACTGGGCACAAATCTTAGTTTTCTTTTGGGATGTGCTCATTGTACCTTGACGCCTTGGCTCAATGCATCTCTTCGTTGTTACCTAAGAATATGGAATATCGTGAATGTTTAAAYTCAGATAAATCTTACCTCGTATGCAGAGTTACGGGCTTTAATAGCAGCTAARTGCGCATGCGTAGTTTTCACTGTTCGCAGTGATGGGGTTCTTGTGTAGGTTAAGGAAGACTTGACGTCGATTGGTTATATCATAGAATAGTGAATGGGTGGCTGGATACGTGGAGGTATAAATTGGTTAAAGTATGGATGAAAGGCTGGTTGGGTAAATGAAAACTGATGGGAGATCTCATGATTGCATGAATTTAGGAATTGCATGATGGATAAATACGTTGTTGGACGGACGGATGAAGATAAACGTGACATTGAGATGGGTAAAAACGGAAGCGCTTATTACAAYAAAAGGATATGAGTTATTTTATCCACTCGAAGGTCAACGGCAAGTTCATTGTTTGGAAGACCTTCCCAGTTACCACTTCCTTTTTGTATAGGGGCCAGCTTGTCTAAAACACAATAATAGKATAGATATGATAACGTTGTACACCTGTTTTAGAGGATATTTTTTTGTTTGTTTCTGTTTAGTCTTTAGCGCATGTTGGCGTTTAATACAGCGGTTTTACACTTTGACCATTGGGAAGAAGTATCATATAGTTACCGTAAAAAGAATCACCACAATTACCGCCTTGACTCTAGCATTTTCATCATTTTTCTCTTACCTGCCGCTTCCTCTCCACCAGCGAGCTTTTCTCTAATTAGCCTCTTTGTACTCTTGGGTTTTGGTTCCACTTCTGTATTAGGCAATATTTGTGATAAAAATACAATAACAAGGGTCATGCATGTTCGACAGGCAGCATTCCATACGGTTGGTGTTTTAGATTTTGCCAGAAACTCATAAGGGGATTGAAACGTGTAGCAACAGTACATTTCTTTGGTTCGATGCTCTGGAATATTCAAAACGCCAGTAAATCAACTGAAGTCATTTTACAACCATATTTGGAACAATAATATACCTCATTCCGTGTCCTTTGGATGGTAATCAGTTGATTTTGTACGATTTTCAGATCTTTTGAGCATTTTAGCTACATTTTAGAACCATTTAAAACGAGACAACTTTTTGCCGCCGTCTGTCCGCCATTTTGTTCTCATCTCAAACTCAAATGTTTGGCCCAAATATGGTATCAAAATTATGCTAATCATTTTGAATATTCCGGAGCATCTGACCGTGCTACACGTTTCAATCCCCTTATTTCTGATTTTGCATATATGGAAAAATGCGGTGATTTTTCCATTCRTCGGTTTTAAGATGGAATAATCTCACAATACATTCATTCATAGAGCATAAAGGGATAATAATGAGCAGGTTTTTGCTTATTTTACMATGCAATTATATTTTCAAACACAAGCAAAAGTTCATAAGTGTTGCAGAGAGATCATGTCCCTTTAAAATAATGAAGTATCCCTGCTGAAGTAATACATATATATTTACATTAATAGTGTTATGTTTTACCTCCCACTATTACGTCATCAATAGTCAGGACAGCGTCAAACTGTAAAACTATTGTCTCGCAGATGTGCGCAAGTTTCTCGACRAATGTGCGGCCGAACTCCACTTCCAAATTCTACAAGATTCAATAAAAACATTTGTCATGGTGTAAATGTGATAAGATAATGTAAAGCCTGGTTCACACTGGCCTACGCTTTACCCAGCGCTGCTGGTTTAACCTAAACACTGACGGATATTTTCGATAATATAGTGGATTTACTACTTAATTTACACTAGCGATAAAATGTATAAATAACCAAAAAATTACAATGCAAAAAGTGAAAAAAGATGTTCGGACATACCGCTAGATTGTTAGCGTGATCTAGAATTGCATCAGTTGATTCTRTATTTCGACGAGTCTCACTTTCACACAAAGTGTCCATTTCTTCTCGATTGTGAGGATGTCCGAGRCTTGGTCGCAGTTGMGATTGGTGAAGTTGCTGGATACAAAGATATTGTATAAAACAACTGGACAACAAGYCGAGCAAGGTGTGAAACAAGCACTAAACCAAGCCGATTATATATATAAAAAAATGATAAACCAAACAGTGGTTCCCAACCTATTCACAATATTCCATACACTGGTTYAGTGACCATGAACAGACCATTGGCCCGAGGCGTCACGGTACAGTGAGCATAAAAGAAAAGATCCGCGGTCAGTGTTCCTTGGCGCCTCGGTTCAACGCTTTGTCCGTCGTCAATGAACCTGGGGATGGGGATGGGGGGGGATGTCGTGAATTAAAAAATGTGCTAGTTTTGGCGGCAATATTGGAGAAAGATCTGTTGAACCAGTCTTTACCTTTCTGCGATCAAGTTCATTTAAGTGATCCCTGAACGTAGTTTCCTTCTGCTGACGTATTTGGTAGAGTTCTTTCAAATGTTCTTGGACTACAACGTCCATTGCAAGCACAGGGACGCGAACAATTAGATACGAGAACTTTTGCAGTTGCCCTCTCAATTCTACAATGAAAAATGGCCAACGATTTAACTTTTTAAAAATGGTACCTTTAGTAATATAGGCGGGAGACCTTTATGAGTATGTTTATAAACCTGAAAGCTGCAAGAGAGCAGTTATAAACCCCATGAAGGTCAGACGCAAATATTTTATATTGCTTATCAAATTCTGACATAAGCTAAAGCATATTTTCAATTTCTAAAATCCAAAAGATAAAATGTTTGTTTTAAGAGGAAATCAGATCTCTTGCATATGGAACTTATTGCCATACATCGGGTGACATTTGCTTGGATTATTGTCCAGGCTCACTCATGCATCCATGCATGCATGTATATATGCATGTAATTTATTTATTTACTTCATGAAATATAATACAATGGAGTTAATTAATATTTTGTCGTCGATCGACCTCATTAACATCATCATCTGACCATTAAATACTATTAATAGCAAAGTCACCTCTAGAAAGGAAAGTACATGTACATATAATATCACAGTTACGTTCACTGACTGATATAAATTTTTCAAATATTGAATTAACACAAAACTGCATAGTTTTGACTACATTTTAAACATATAATAAGAAAGCAATAATTTGAAAAATTCAAGTTTGATTTTTGTTGCTTGTGCCTACAGAAGTAGTCTCCTTTGCATCCGTTCATCGTCGGGACAGGAATCCCGAAACGCAAACGGATGCGAAGCAACGCCAACTCTTCAAAGGCGAAAATACATAATTGGATTTTTAAATTTTCTCACGAAAAATACACAGCAATGTCACACATACATTTTATTTGTTAAATCCGGTGCTAGGTTTTTTATTAACAAAATAAGTTATGCGCGAGGCCCAGTTTTTTGGAGCGAACTGTGGTGAAAACATGGATCGCCWTACTATTTTAATGCTCAACTTCAACTCTTCAAGGGCAAAAATACGCCCGAACTATTGTACTGAGCATTTCCTGAATAATTTTCAAATAATTGAGCACGAAATCTTACCACGTTGAAAACGATATTGTTTATATTCAGACAAATGTGTTTGTTTCAATTACCGGCGAGTAATGCTCGAGCTCTTGTAAGTGCAAGTTAATTTAAGTTATTTTAACTTATTTTGTCTTAAAAGACAAACAGTTAGCTTCAAGGGCCATATTCCACCATTATTTTATGCGGTCGTGTTTTAGATTTTTCAACTTTGAATAACCCATTTAACATTTYTCACCTTGGATACATGAGTTGTGGTATTCCTCAGCTTGAGTCTTGTATGACTGCAACCGCTGGACAAGAATTTCAGCACAGGCGTCAAAGTTTTCCTGGATGGCCTGGGGTCTGGTTGGCGCTCTTTGAGATCCTTTTTGTCTGTAATACATCTAATGACCATAATTTGACGGKGTCAGTAAAATTGAAAAATCGACGAAAATGGTCGACGCTAAACGCCATTGCGTGATTTTTGGAGTTTTTGCTTGAGAGAAGTTCTTTAATTCAAAAAAAACTTTATCTCAGGATAACATTGTTAGAGTTTGGTCTCACCTCTGCAGTTGCTAGGAGGCCCTCCATGCCTTCACGAAGAACATTCTTTATTTTTGCGAGAAAATGCCTGGAAATAAAAAGCACGGATAATGCATGGCAGCCCAGACAAAAGCATTTCATTCAAGGCAAGTCTAACTCAATGTAGTACAAAATTGCCCTCTGATATCTTAAAGATAGTTATTGAAATGAGTTTAGCTGATTGCGAATGATGTKTTCTGGTGACTTTTCAATACYATAGACCATTTCACGAAAWAAATGGCCATTTGAAGCACCGTTATYAAAAGAAAATTAAAACCAAWGAAKTCAAGTTTATTATACAAAAATACGKTGAGAAGATATAGACCTTCGCATTAACCAAATTTTATAAAGAATTGCAGGGTAARGTTGAGAACTTCCCAAATTTCCAATGCGTTGGCAGAGGTTTATGAAAATGTAGYGACTTTCACTTACTCTCCTTCTTCTGGTTTTTCTCCAAATACCAGGAATTTCTTGTCGATCTTTGATAACTGATCGCGTTTCACCGCGCTGGTCTTCCTGGACCTTGAGTGCCAGAAAAAAATTAGCATAAGAGAGATTTGTACTTGATATTRCAAATAGGAATAGCCTCATCWTACGAACTCCTGCTAAMAAAWTGTGCAACAGTAAACCGCCATGCACCGTAACCGTTAATTGATTATTGGTTGCTGATGATATTCCTCACTATCACATTCCTTACCCAGCGCTTTTTCGTTTCTCCAAATCAGATGTCGTCCTCTTAAATGGCGCCTGTACAAAAAAAAACAAATATAAATCATATGGACATAGATACAGCTTCATGCATCACTGATGGTTTTGGGCTTCCTATGGGACGGGAGAACTAAGGAGAGTTAAGGAGYAGCACTAGCGTCCAGATCTACCACGACCTGCAAAGGGCGCCATCTTTATGATTAAGCCCTATACAAACGCTATACATTAAGTGATTGACAACTCGCCATACAAAACAACCATTGCAACGAAGAACAAGGAGAAATTATTCCACGTCGAGATCGTATTTCTGCTCCTTAAACATCCTCTTTCAATTTTGCTGTTTTTTACTCGAGTTCTTAATAACTAATTAAAATCGACAACACAAGTAAAGGGTTATCAATGGTTCAAGCGCTCGTTTCTAGAAATATTATACGTCACTTCTCGGTGCATGACGTCTACTTACTTTATTATCATTGGTTGGGACGGTTTTCGGTCGTCCGTCGTCATCGATCGCCTTGGCCATTCTTGATGAAGCAGCTGTGCAAAAATTGTCCCATTCATTAAAAGCATTCATGTGATTTGAGAAGTGTAAATTATCGAGAGGTGGTTCATAAACTGTCCGCAATAGTCGATGGGCAAMGAGCGAGATTTTCCAATTACAATTGAGCACCGCCTTACGGTTTCCCGTTTAAATYGGCCACCTCCTTATACTCTTTTGGGTCCCGATGAAATGCACATATRTTCACTCTAAAATCTACGGCCACCGTTTACGTCTGACAAAATMAGTAATCGCAAAACTCCTCGTACATAAAACTGCATCATGCCATCATGCCTTCTCGCTAACATCATATTTTTCACTTACGGCTGGTCTTCGGTTTTGTAACTTCTTCAGCAACACTGGCATCTTGTTTCGTAATAGACTTACGCTTGGACTTCTTGGSCCTGTAAAACATTTATCAATRTACTACGATATACTAWACAATRTACCAACTGTTAGTTKAAGGCCGTTCGTGCACGTCCTGCCTAATTCAGTTGACTATCCATCACCTTGGAGAATTTCTATGTAAACTATTCTCGCTGGTGTTCATTTAATTAAATCCATGCTACTTTTTAGTTCCTTTGARGATGAACAAGTTGGGGTCGAAAGCCGCTGGGGTCAAAAGGAAATCATAGAGACGACATTCATGCTAGTTCCTTGATTTTATCTATTTTTAAAGGGTCCGAGCTTCACGCCTTCTCACTTACAAAAATCGTTTAACCATACATCATTTTTATAACAAAACAGACTAGCGGCGCAAAGGTCCTCGGATACAAGCGGGCATTTAGATGACGTTGAGTGGTGCTTASAAGGGATTAAAGGCATTTTAGACCAATCTAAGTGCAGTAGTGATGCTCAATATCCAGCAAAGAATCGTCTTGGGCATTCAACAAGGCCTTGCTTACGTCACACTGTGAATAATCACAATAGGCACCTTAATGCATGCAGTATTGCCAATCTTCAAATGCCGTAACACTCCGGCAAAACCACTTGTTATGCAGGGAACTATTGACATGCCCATGCATACGAGATTGCTCTAAGAAACAACACATGCGACAAAACCCATGCAAAGATRGGACACCGTACTTTTGTCGAGGCTCAGGTGGCGCTGCTGCGAATTCATCATCAGGCAAGACTAAAGGRTCAATACCATTATGGTACAAGGATGGAGAAGGTAGATAGCGACCGTAAGAGCGTCGCCACGGTAAGAGAGTCGAGCTCTCTGAAGTAGGAGAACCACGAGAGCTGGGCAAAGCAAGATAAGATGAAAGACCTTCGTCGGTTGAGCATAGGGAAGCAGTATCATAGAGATAGGCATCCTCTTCCTTTATAGGACTGTGGAGATACGCAGGATATTTATTGTATAGAGTATTAGGAAAATAGATATTGTTAATGAGGTAGTGATAAATAATTACAGTAATAACACGAGCAATGCAGAACTCTTCATCTAAGAACAAATACTAAATAATCAATTCGACAAATCATAGTGTCTACATATGATTGCTGGAGCATACGTCCACCGTGCCCGTATATCACACCAAATGGAGAGCTCTSGAGACAGCGAGAAAATAATTGGATCAAGACATGGAGCGATGCGTGTGACACGGTCAAATTTATCCAAAAAAATTCAATTCAAGAAGTTTGTTTTATAATTTAGCAGTTCTTCGGAAATTTTTTCACTTTTCTTGTTAGTCTTATAGATAATAGCAACAAGCAATGGCATATTAAGGTCAATAGATAAATCCTAAAAACCTACTTTTTCCAAATTAATCAAATAAATTAATACTAAATCTATCGTTTTTCTTCTATATCTGAACTTGGCGATTTAGTGTATTATGACATGGATAACCGCACACCAGTTGGTCTGCTGTGCTGGAAGAAAGGATTCATATCCTGGCTGGACAACTGCTAGGATCACAAAATAATAATAGATTCTATATATAATATCAAGGAGGCAAGATTTTGCTGTTACTCCGAGTTTCGGAGTAACAGCAAAATCTTGCCTCTTTGATATTATATATATAACTAGCTCTACACTTTATGTGTATTGAGCACTCTTTAATGGGATCAGCTACTTCCTCATACAATAATATATTCTATATATATCTTACTTTAAATCTGGTTTGGCTGGTTTCCCATCCTTTRTTTGAGCTTTTTTGTCTTCAAATCCAACTTTCAGACCAGCCTTTAAGACRTTTAGGCTGGGCGTCGCATCTCCAAGTAATGCATTGAGATAGATRCATCGTTCATGGAAGGCTTGTAAGATGGGTATTAAACTTGCCTGTACCTCTCGAGCTGTTACTTGCTGTGAACAAAAGAGAACATAATTGTAACAAGGATAAGTACGAAAAAAAAGAAGAGAGGAAGACAAGAAGTAACGATGGGGCTGATGGAAGAAGAAAAGAAAGACTGACCAAGGAAGAAGGATACAAGGAAGCCAAAAGCTGCTACACTATAGTGATCGATGAAATAAACAAATGATTAAAAGAACAAAGAACTGGGAAATAAGTAATAGGCTGTGAAAGGATGAAGGAAGGTAAGCAGCAAAGAAGAATAAAAGCACACAAGGGAAGGAAAGGAAAGCAGGACAATTTCCCAAAGAACGGATATAATAAGCAAAGAGGAACAAACATACGTCTTTGTCCAAGTTCGGTTTCTCCACTGCATCAATATGACGATCAAAAGTGGCCATAAACATAGCAAGTTTCTTGGCTTGGGAATTACTGAATGATACCTAGAATAACCAATAAAAAAACAGGGTCTTGCGATGTTTTATGCCCTGAAAAACGTTTATTTTATCTAACAAAACAAGAATCGTATAAACGTTGTGTAGCTCACCTCGCTCTTGACTTTTACTTGTGTATTGGTCAACCATCTTGTGATTTTTTCGATGTATGTCAAGTCAAATAAATGATGCTTGAATCTAGAAATAATGACATAGATTTACAATCAACTTCTTTTTATCTCTACCTTATAGAGTTTAACCTCCCTCAAGGGCTTTCATTCTAACGTTAGAATTATTTTGTTATAAAAGATGAAAAGGAACACTGGGGATAAAGAAAGAGRAARAMTGGAGTCGAGAATGGGAGGASCGTTGTCTTTAATCTTCCATATCCCCCTTTCGAYATAGTTTCCTTTGTTCACTTCCTTTTCAGCCTTATATTTAACTCAGGAAGCAGACAGGAACCTCAATAGTAGAATAAAATGACGAAGTTGRCTGCGGACATCGCCAATAGGAAATTACCATGTGCATCAAGGCATTTTCTAAAACGAGACAACCTGCGATAATAAATTAATGAATGCTATTTTCTACCCGCTAGAATTGAGCTAGAATCCGTTTTTGGATTCAGTTTTGTATGCTAAAATGAATGGACTTAGCCTCCTTCTCGGGTAATTCTTCTTTGCTTCTTCGTGCTTCCTTTGTAACGGCCATATTGACTGTTTTTTAGGTCTATTGACGATCATTTTTCTTCTGGTTCCCAGCAAGAAAGCAGGAAGCCCGTGACTACTTATGATTCAAGTTGAGGAGGTTCGGGTGCAATATTATGGCTAATKGACAAACCTGTCTTCCAATTTTCCAGCGTGATCAGTAGCAGCCTCAAGGCGCTTTGTCTCCATCCCTTCAAGTTCTGCCATGAATGARCCCTCTGATGTGTCAATACGACTGGCCATTTTTTCCTGTCAAGGATTATGAAAACGGGACTTTTTCAGCTCAYATACTCAAACAATTGGTGGATAAATTTGTGTGAACGAATGGRTAAATGAATGCCTGTTATATAGCTGGAATAAAATATGATGGAATATTATAATAAATCGCTTAATAAATTAACACTATTATCAAGAAATTGATAAATAGGCAAATWAATGWATWTAAAGAGATGATTTTTTTTTAAYATTTACCAGTCGTTTCCTATATTCTTCTATTTCATCGGTAGAAAAATTACCTCCATCAGAAAACACCCTRAAAAATACASCAGTGATACTTAACACTCCATGATGACATATTATACTAACGCGTACTCCCTAGATGAATTAACTACGCCAACATTCAATTAACTACGTAAACGTACTATATGAACTAGTTGCGTAGCTAACATCATAAACATAACAATACAATAAACCACAAGACAATATACTTTTTGTAAACGAGGGTAACACATGACAGTAATAAAAACTGATAAACTAGCGRCACATACTTGAAAGTCTTACGAAATCTTGCGTTTGAGTTCCGCAATGTGCTTAGAATCTCGTCCAGGTCGTGACGGAACTTCCTGATAGAGCTACGTATTACGCACATGTACTGTTAAGATACGTACAATGATCAATATACAGTAAAATATAAATAAATTCACGCTCACATAAAGACTTYTGATTAACAGACTGTACTGTTTTCAGCTGCATACTACTTACATAAAAAAAAGCAAAAAACAATTTTAAAAGAAAAAGTTAAAATGGTAGCAATGACAGACATGCCTTACCTGCTCTACACGATTTGCAACTTGATCTTGGATGGCAAGTAACCTAAAAAAGTGTGATCCATTAATCAAAGACCCAAAGCTAGCCATGATACATTGAGGGTAAGGCTGAATTTCATTTGAAAAAAAAATCAGTAATACACGACTTTCAAAAATGGCGCCAGTTCACGTCCGCCCATATTGGGGACTAGTGACGAATCATGGAAACGAGACCTCAAAGGCCTTCCATCAAGAAATCACTACGAAGATCGTATGTAGGCAGTGTCGAAAGATGTATTGGTATGTTATTTGGAAGCTCACTATGGAAGCTCACTATACGGAGACTGGTCTTTGAGACCTTGTTTTAGGTGATTCGTCCCCAGTGCCCTGGTCGGCGACTGCGACATATCGCGCCATTTTTGAAAGTCGTGAATTCTAACATTATTTTGTTAATAATCTTCCAAAATGCATCCTATGCCGATTCCTTGGCGGAAAACTGTTGCAAAGGCAACTTTCAGATTGATTATGAGAAACAAAAAGTCGTCAGTATGTGTCTACTTACTCGTGTGTCTTGGTTGCCGATACAAATGTTGCTTCGAGCTCAAGTACAGACTGCTTAAACACCTCGGTCTAGAAAGAACATAAAGATACTTCAGTCAACTATCGAGCAATCACCTCTATAAGGTAGCCAAAATAAAAAGGCTTTATTCGGCTTTTATTCAACGTCCATTTAGCGTTCAACCTCAATTAAACGGTCACTTTGGAAAGTTCTGAGGGTGGCCGCTTAAGAGAAGTACACAAMGTCACATTCAGATTTTCTGCTTGAGAACCGTTCTCAACAGCTCTACTATAAATATCAACTAGAAAATTCAAAGGAAAAAGTTGCAGCATTAACCTCTTTATCGTGTTCATCGACCATCTCATGAAAGCGAGTCTTAAACTGGTTGAGTGTCGTAGTTACACCTTTGCAATGGCCGTCTACTCGTTCTCTGTGCATTATCAATTCCGCTGAAAATAAAATAAAAATACAGTTCTTAATATGAGTATTCAGTATATCAAAAAATTATTGGATGAAGGCTGAGTGGGGTATAAAAAATTATGCAATTCGAGGAAGCTTTTATCCGACGAAGTCGTTACAATTATACATGTAGACTGAGGGAGATCAAACAGACTCCTATGTTTATTTTGTTCTATTGCAGAAACTAAAGCAAGTTTAATGACTGGTTCATCATATAGCATTATTTAATTTTTATTTGTTTAATACTTGTCTGAGTTAGGTGTATGAGTCAAGTGTTGTATGCCTTCAAATGAGAAAAGTGTTTAAAAGTGGCTTAAAGTTGTAAACATTATTATTACTATCATATTTATAATAGGTGACATCAGAATATAACAAAATATAATATAGATTAAACCTACTTTATTCGTCATTAGTACAACAAAGATAAAATAAGTATAGTTTAAAACACGATCTCGAGTGTTTTAAACGGCTTAACAAACTCCAACACTAATTTGAAACTCAMATCCGTTAAAATTCTTGGAGAAATTGCCGTACAAATATGTTCAGAGATAAATGGGGCAAACTGATCATGCGCGAATCACTTTACAAAGCACTGTTGTCATCCCACATTGAATACGCATTAAGTAAAGTAACCGCTCTTGGCTGTTCACTGAAATCGGTTGACATCCTGCATTGGTCAATGATCAGGTTTCAAACCTGAGACCTTTGCCAGGGTCATGGACCTTTATATCTGATAAAGGTCACCCTTATTAGTATTCTTTATWTAAAGAATACTAATAAGGAGTGTTTTATCAGATATAAAGGTCCATGCATGTACAGTACAGTTAATTTCTCTTTTAGACGGCGATGCCATCAGAGAGTCGGGTTGATCTTAGCAATCAACTCGGCGAAGTCATTTCTCTCCTGCGTTACACGTAAATAGGCTCATTCTATTGGCCTAGTAGCTCATTAATTATGTATGAGTTTTTAATGTCAATAAAAACTCGTAAAACGTTACAACGAATGAAAAATAAGCATGTCTTGTATCATTGCACTTACCAGCTCTAACGTTATGCACGTCTTGCTCGGCTCGAGCGGCTCTAGGTTCGTGCAGATGGAGTCTTAGATCAAGCTCACTGTTAAGTTCTTCCACCTTGGGATAAAACAAAGTGAACAATTCGCTACAAAACCAATATGGCCGCCGAAAATGAAATTATTGAATCACTGAAACCTTCATCAGTCTAAATCATTGATACTTTAGGCCTAGTGTCCAATGTAATCTTCCACATCGCCAGCTAAATTTTAGTTACATGGTGGGAACTAGCGGTAAACTAGTGTGAGCTGCGTCGGTGTTTCTAAAGAAACATTTGTGTAAAAAGATAAATTTAACACCGTAAAAAAGTTTGTGAAATAACTTACTGACGTTTCGGACGTTAATCCTTCGTCGGAGTAGAAATTGTAATTACTTCAAGGGAATAAATAACAATGCAAACAGACAATTATGGACGATTATATTGACACTAGGCCTCAACATATGTGAAAACTGGACAATCMTTTGATGACAGTGTACTCTCCAAACGAAGGCGACAGAGTCAGTTTAAATTATGATAAAGATACAGTGATGCCTTGACTTGTATTCTATATATTAACCGACCTTAGCAGACACTACACTATTCGCATGTTCCAACGCCTGTTCTTTCCACWTTTCCAAGTGTTCAAGGAATTCCATTCTAATTCTGGAAATCACATAAAAAAAGKCATAACATCACAACATTGGTTAAGAGGTTTGTGCTGCAAAGCATGATGGTAGTTATGGTCCTCACACTTTTTCATCTCCTCAAAATTAGTCTTCCTAAGCATTTTTTATTTATTTTTTTATTTTTTGTTGTTGTTATTGTTTTCTTTTTGTTTTTGTTTGCTTTTTCTAAGCAAAACTTGTTTAGTTGTGCCGTTTCTAGAAAGAAAAACACACCAAAAATACCGTTTTACAAAGATTTTTAGTGCGAAGAGGGCAGTTCCCATCATGCTTTGTTGAACAAAATGGCGTCGCTACACATTGCCTATCAACAGTTTTTATACTTACAGCTTCCTTAATTCAACGAAAAGTTCTTCTTTAATGGCGATAGCATCGAGGTACGGCGGTGTAATTTCATCGTTGTCTACGAGTGACAGATGACATGAGCAATGTATGTTTTTAGCTTTGTTTTTTATTTGTTTTGTTATTGGTTTCCTTTTTTTTTGCTTTTGTTTTTAGATATATTATATACATATATTTGTCTCTGTTGTTTTAAAAAACTATTGGGCGCAGAGAAAATTTCAGGAAAGCCAGACTATTGAACTAGAGTARTAAAAATCACTGATATTTTGAGCA